GGACTGTGCGCTGCCAACCTCCGTGGACTCCAGCGTAAACTCAGCATCTCCCCCACATGACTGTGAGCTTCCGAGGGGCAGGACAGCGCCCTTTCAGGTAGGCGTTCTCAGCACCGCACTTTGGCTCTAAACACGTGCTCAAAAGTTCGCTGGAAGAATGGATTTGTGAAACACTTTAGCACTTCTGGCCACTCCCTGGGATTCTCCCAATATTCCTCACTCCATCAGGAACGCAGAGCCCGGTGTAAGCCGAGAACATCCACACAGCCTGACTGGAGCTACCGCCCCAACTCTACCCAAACCGCAGCGCACCTGTTTCACCGCAGTTTAAGATACGTTAGAGTCGTGGCGTTGCATTATGGGAAGTGTAGGGGCGGGAAAGCGGAAGGGGCGGGGCGAGAAAGCGGAAGGGGCGGAACGAGCGGCGTCTTCCCTTCCTCCATAGGGGCGCTAGGGCTTGGGTGGTAAGGTGGTGTGGTCGGGGGTGTTGCAGTGTGGACTTTGCGTTTGTCCTCCGCCCTACCCGAGGCGGTAGAGCTGATTGGTGGCGGGAGGCTGTGCACTTGGAGGTGCGGCAAGTGGCGCACAGGCCTGGGCGCACGTTGGCTGCACCATGGTCCAGCTCAGTGAGTGACCTTCCGGGTGGTCGCGGGGCCGGGGGGGCGTATGGGACCCGATGAAGCAGCTCTTCTAGGTGAGCTGCAGGCAACCCGAACTTGAAACAGCCACACTACCTTACGTTTGTCCCTCTCCTCAGGTTTTTCTCACTTAATCTTTCCTTAAAATTTATGAGACAAATGGCGTTCAGTTTCTAGATAGGCGGCTGAGGGTCCGTGGTGGTCACAGAGCTGTTAAATGGCAGGCTGGTGTTGAGCGGATTGAGGAGGTAGTCATTTCTGTGTGATGTGCATGAGAGGAGTTTCACGAATACACCATCTAAACTGGGTTGACGGGTGCCTGGGTGGCTCAGTGGGTTGAGCCGCTGCCTTTGGCTCAGGTCGTGATCTCGGGGTCCTGGGATCGAGTCCTGCATCGGGCTCTTCTGCTTGGCGGGGAGCCTGCTTCCCCCCCCCTTCTGCCTGCCTCTCTGCCTACTTGTGATCTCTCTCTGTCAAATAAATAAATAAAATATTTAAAAAAAAAATAAAAAAATAAACTGGGTTGACAATAATTGGTTGGATGCAAGCAAGCCCCTTCACTTGAGGAAGGGGCATGTTTTATCTATCTCATTTTGTCCATTTTATGTACTCGGTTCTTGTGTGTTAACAACTTAATTCTCTGCAGCTACTGTCCTGTGCAAAGCCTACCGTGGAGGCCATTTAACCATCCGTCTTGCCCTGAGTGGCTGTACCAACCGGCCTTTCTACCGCATTGTGGCTGCTCACAACAAGTGTCCCAGGGATGGCCGTTTCGTGGAGCAGCTGGGCTCCTATGATCCACTGCCCAACAGTCATGGAGAGAAAATCGTTGCTCTCAACCTAGAACGGATTCGGCATTGGATTGGCTGTGGGGCCCACCTCTCTAAGCCTGTGGAGAAGCTTCTGGGTAACTCAGCTCTAGCCTTACTTCATTGAGGGGATTTTCAGTTGAAGTCAGTTTCAGGATGATAAAGAGTTAAGAAGGATTTTCATTACTTCAGGCTGCTTAGGGCTAAGGTGAAAGCTGAAGTTGTGAACTAATTGTCATTTTGACTGGAGACCCCTTTTGTGGACTCTTATGAGACTTGCTGAGTGAATGGGATTTTGTACTGAAAATGGGAATAATGGGTCTTGAATGGCTATCTGTCCATTTATCTTTTTTTCAAATAAGGACATTAGCGTTAGGAAGTAACATCCACTGTCTCCTTATAGTAAATGGAAGCGGGGGGGGGAGTTGGGGGAAGAGATAGTTTGGCAAGAGAGGAGCTTGTTTTATTTATTTATTTTTAAAGATTTTATTTATTTATTTGACAGAGAGAGATCACAAGTAGGCAGAGAGGCAGGCAGAGAGAGAGAGGGAAGCCGGCTTCCCGCTGAGCAGAGAGCCCAATGCGGGACTCGATCCCAGGACCCTGAGATCACGACCTGAGCCGAAGGCAGCGGCCTAACCCACTGAGCCACCCAGGTGCCCCAGGAGCTTGTTTTAAATCCATGCTGTAGGTCAGGTCTCTGTTAGACCTCAGCTCTGTGAGGCTAAGTTCCCAGGGAATCATTGGTTTATACCATGTTATAATGAATGGAAATCCTGTTGCTTTTAGGTCTTTCTGGCTTTTTCCCTCTGCATCCCATGACGATCACAAATGCCGAGAGGCTGCGAAGGAAACGGGCACGCGAAGTCCTCTTAGCATCTCAGAAAACAGATACAGAGGCTACAGAAACAAAAACGAGCTGACTTCAATGAGCAGAGCATTGGGAGAAAGGTCAAAGTCCTCTTAAAACACTTATGCATGGGACGCCTGGGTGGCTCAGTTGGTTGGACGACTGCCTTCGGCTCAGGTCATGATCCCGGGGTCCCGCATCGGGCTCCCAGCTCCATGGGGAGTCTGCTTCTCCCTCTGACCTTCTTGCTCATGCTCTCTCTCACTGTCTCTCTCTCAAATAAATAAATAAAATCTTTTAAAAAAAAAAAAAAAACACTTATGCAGAGCGCTTAGTCTTAATAGCTTTGGAGGTCAGTAAATGGAGTTTTCTGCGTCACCCATGCTCTTCTGGACTGTCCTGAGCTGGACTCAGAGAGTAATTTGTTCTTTCTAACATAGAGCTGGGTCCAGATACTAATGAGCTTTTTTAGCCTTCATTGAGAAAAGACAGTGGCTCTGGGGTGTGTTGGACTTTTGGGTTGGGCCCTGGATCTCTCAGACAACTTTACAGTCTGCTGCCTTGCAATACTTCCCTGTTTGAAAGCCCCCAGCAAGCCTGTCCATGGTCTGTCTGTGCAATTCGTTCCTTAATCATTTATGGTCAGCCCACTAGCTCAAGAACACAGTTACTTTGCTTATTTATTTATTTATTTATTTATAGAGTTACTTTCTCTTGTTTGATATATAATCTCAAATTTACAAAGGGAGATTTTTTTTTTTTAATGAGATTTTAGGCTATAATAGCATACTTTTAGAATGAGAAACTGGAAGAAACGTAATATTGAAAAGTACCTACATAAATTATTGACCCTTTACAGGTAAAGGTTATTCATGAGGATTATTAGGTATCATGAAAGGGGGTAAGATTGTCTCCATTTTATTGAAGAGAGATTGAGGTTCAGATGTGGAAACTTGACCAACGCCATCTCTTTTCATTTGGGCAGAGCTAAGATTCAGACCCCAATATGCATATCTGGAGAGCCCTTTCCAACACATTATATTGTCTGTGGCAGGGTGAGTGTGAGATGAGCAAAGATGAGGGGCTTTTCAAACGTCCACTTAAAAAGCCAGTGATAGAATGAGGTTTAGGTGTCATGAGTTTGGTTAACAAATGACTGGCTGTGCCCCAAGCCCAAAATATCACATCTGCTTCACCAGAACTGCAGGACAAGCACAAGTGTGGATCAGAGGATTTTAGTGCACACTCTGGGTGATATGATTTCAAATTCTGGCACAAGACTAGGATATAGAGCTGATAGAAGAGACACTAAAGCCCTATCAGTGTACCAACTTATTTTCTGGATTTTATATATTGAGAACAATTATCAGCCATCTCATTATGGGGTCAAGACTCTCCCAGGGTTGTCTCTGGTGGGCCTCCCTTGCTTTTAGGGGACTTTGAAGGCAGGGCAGGCTGAGAAGAACTGACTGGATTTGATCATGGATGTGGGAAAGAAAAATGCTATGAAAACCATGGGAACTCTGGAAGTTAAAGAAAATAATACACTCTGGAGAGTTTAAGGTTTTTGGATAAGCTTTAATTGGTAGAACAGAGAAGAATGATTATGAAAAGTATTGATCAGTAAAGGGAACTGCTGGGAAATGGGTTAAGGTATTATTTTGATCTATTGGGTTTCTGCTCACTCAAGTATTCACTTTATGCCCTGATCTATCCTTCCTCTGTGATTTGTGTATACATACTTCCTGTGTGAGCACATCCTGTCCCTAATTTCCAGGTTTCCATAGCTCTAGCCTTACTTTGGATCTGCTGACAGTTTCACGCCATCTTAGTTGATTGCATCAGCTTATGTTGCTGTCATCTCAAATCCAACATGCTCAAACCCAGCTCTGCATTTAAAAAAAAAAAAAAGAGGGGCGCCTGGGTGGCTCAGTGGGTTAAGCCGCTGCCTTCGGCTCAGGTCATGATCTCAGGGTACTGGGATCGAGCCCCACATCGGGCTCTCTGCTCAGCGGGGAGCCTGCTTCCTCCTCTCTCTCTGCCTGCCTCTCTGCCTTCTTGTGATCTCTCTCTGTCAAATAAATAAATAAAATCTTAAAAAA